GTCATCAGTTGAAGGGGGAAGGCAAAATGGTTTAAAACAGCAACAGAGAATTCTGATATTTACAGTAGTAGCAAGAAGGGAGGAGATAGGAGATCCTTTGACTATGTATATTGTTAACCATGATCTTCCACCCAGCTAGCTGATTTTTAGAAAGTATGGAAAGAAGATAAGACTCTTGTTGGGGAAGGAAGGATTGTGAGTTGGATGTATAAAGCAAGGATGTTGTGGGAGGTCAGATTTTGAGGTAAGGTGAGAGTAAAGGATAGTAAAGAGGTGTAGTGTGTGAGAGAATAGAGTTAACCACTACAGTAATAGAGTTCAGGAAACTTTGAAATGGGCTACGATCTTGGGGGGGGGGTGTTGTGAAGTATTTACAATTGCATGGAACAGCAGTTATTTACAATAATATTATGGCAACAATCATATGACAGAATCTATGAGATCTAGGTAACAAGAATAGGGAGTACAGAACCTTGAGTAGTGTGCTAATGCGACACAGGTGAGTTAAAGGACAGTAGATTAGCAATACAGTATGGAAAGAGATATCAGGGGAAAGCTGTCAGATAATACAATATATCCAGCCTAGCAAAGCAGACTATACAAAAAGAAGAGGGCTACAAAAATACTATTTAAAAATATGTAGGAATACTGGAAACAATAATAATACAAATATGCAATAACTTGCAGGTTCTCTGTAATAGCAGAGTGAAATTTATCTCGCTGTCCCAGCTGTTGTGATGCCCTGTCTTTGGGTTCAACTTTGGTCTTTTCACAGATACAGGATTTTGTCTCACTTGTAGGTATTTAGAAAAAATTTTAAAAAGTAAAAATAGAAAAGGCAGATGAAGGAAGGAAGAAGAGATAAAATTGGAGGAGAGGAAGGAGGAAGGAATAAAACAATAAATCAGGAAAGAGAGGAAAAATAAATCAAAAGAGAACAAAAACAATAAAAGTTTAAAAATTAAAAATTGTTAAAAAAATAGAATCAAGTTAAAAAGTCTCTTGGTTTCAAAGTGGCCAAACTGGTTTTTCTGCTCTTGCTGGCTGTGGCAGGCTGAGTGGTGATTGGTCAGTGGAGCTGGCACTGGCTCCTCAGCCTTGTGCCCTGGGTGTGGGAATCAGGTCTTTCCCCAGGGTTACTGCTGTGGACTGGGGTGGGGGGATGCTCTCCCTGTATGCACGCCCACGCGCCCAGGCACCCACAGCTGGGTGGCAGTGAGGCTGGAGCGACTGATCACTTCAGGAGAATTCCCCAAATAGTGTCTGTCTATTCACTCCTTGCTTTTGAGAAATTCCTCTTCTTCAAGCCTGCTGCTCCCCACAGTGGCCTGGCTTCTCCCGCTGGCACCAAACTCTCCAGCCAGACAGGTGACTGTGGGGGTCCAGGCTTGCTGTGTGACCCAGCCTCTCCGGTGTCCACAGCCTCCAAAGGTGTTCACAGCCCTTGTGTGTTTGCTAGCACCTGGATTCCTCCCAGTGCTGCTCAGACCTTCTTTGGCTTGGGAGGGAGCAGTTGTCCTGGCTCTCTCCCAAGGACTCTGTGGCAAACTCAGCAGTGGGCTCTGGGCCTGGGGCTGCAGCCCCCGGACCACACGCTGGTCCCTGGGACCCTACCTTGTTGCAGCACTCTTCTTAGGGTCTGGTTTTTTGGTTCCACCACAATCCTTGTTCCCCTATTTTCACATGTGCTGAAGTATGTTGGTTGCTTGTTTCTCTACTCCATAGATCAGTCAGGATTTTCTCCCCTGGGCAGAGGGAAGCCAAATCTGCTCCTTCCTACTCCAACGCCATCTTAGCCGTCCTTTCTTCCCCTCTCTAAAAAAATAAATAAATAAAATATTTTTTAAAGGGTGAAAAAGAGATAAGACTCTTACTAGAAGGGAGAAAGAATATGAGCTGAATCCAGAAAACAGGGCACATGTGCATGGTTAGATGGTGAGATCTAGTGAGAGTAAGGGATAGGAATTAGGCATAATGTGTGAGAGAATAAAGTTAACCACAACAGTAGTAAAGTTCAGGAAGACCAAGATCAGGGAGGGGTGCTATGTAGGATTTACAATAATATGGAACGACAATTATTTACAAAATTATAGGAACAAAAATAATATGACAAGAAATATATGATCTGAATAAGAAGAATAGAAAGTAAAAGACCTAGAGTAGCATGTTATTGGAATACAAGTGAACTGAGAGAAGAAAAATTAAGATACACTGTGAAAGGGAGAACAAAGAATACCAGTCAAACAATGCAATTAAACAAACAGAATGAAGAAAACTAAACAGAATGAAGATAAACAAATAAATAATAAATACAAATAACTAAAAATAATAAAAATTAAAAATAAAATGGAAGTTCTGGAGGATAGCAAAGTGAAATTTGTCTCAGTTTCCCATTTGGCACTAGCCTTCTGATCTCTCTCTGGTTCTTTGGTCCTTTCACAGCTCTAGGACGATTGTCTCACACTTAGAGGGGGGAAAAAAGCCTCCTGCTGACATTAAACCTGCCAAGCAAGTTCTGTGTCTTCCTTTTTTCTGTGGATGGGCAGAGGGTAGCTGGGCTTTGCTCTTTTCCTTTCTTGTGGTGTTTCAAGGATGAGGGCTCATTCTGGACTGCAATATTCACAGGTGCCCAGCCTCTAGCCCAAGCCCTGAGTGCTGCACTACACCCACTCTCCATCTGAACCAGGCTGGCACCTTTAAGCCACCATGTTGTGTCACCTGTGAGGTTCACTGATTAGGACCAGCTTGCACCCCTCCTTCCTCTTTGCTGGCCTCCTCTGATCAGTCCATATGGGTGCCCCTCCTCCTCCCTCTTTGCTGGAGCAGCTACTGAGCAGGAGTGATCCTTGCACAGCATCGTCATGCCATTTTTTCTGAGCAAATTTCACAGGGTTGCAGTCTGCGTTCTTAACAAGCACCTGGCTTTTCGCATAGCCCAACTCTCTGACCAATCCTGAGACTCCCTTCCACCAGCCTGACTGTGACTGGGTCACAGTCAGTCACAGCCCAACACTTCTCCCATCCCTAGGTGTCTGCCTGCTCCCCGATTTCTCTGGTGCTGTCCCAGCTAGCGACCAGAGTCCAAGGTGGGGAATGCCCTTGGCTATGTGTCTTCCACTGCATCTTTATCCTCACAGCGACTTCAAGCATCCTGGTCTCTCCTAGATGGGACTGGCTTCCTTGTTGGGGGAGAGGAGGGAGCTGCAAAGTTAGGATCACTGACCTGGTTCTCCTCCAAAAGTCCTATAGCAGCAGGGACTGGAGCCACAGCTACCAGACTGTAGTCCTAGGCGCAGAGCCTGGCAACTTTCCCATCTGCCTACAAACTTTCCTAACCCTCAGTTTTTTAATGTCCTCTTCAATTTTTGGCCTCCAAACTTCATCTAAGCTGGGATTCCATTTGCTGTTCACTCTGTTCTTCGGAAGATCAGCTAGGGGTCCTAGTTGGGTGCATTAGCAAGTGGGTTAAGCTCCCACCTACCTTGCCGCCATCTTCCAACTCCCCCTACATGTTTGTCTTCTTAATGCACTGTATGTTCCTTGTAGCACTGAACATCTAGATAGTGCCTGGCATATCCATGAGCATTCATTTCAATTTAACAGATATTTTGTATTTGATTCAGTAGTCACATAGGTTTAAAACAGTAACTCAGTTTGCTTCATTTCAGCTGAGATGCAATTCCTTTTCTCCTCAGGACAAATGCTGATAGAAAAAAAGTACTAGGCACTCTCATTCTGAGGAACACAGCCAAGGCCATTCTTCCCTGTCAGGCATGCATCTCCTAAACTCTAAGGGTTCCTATGAAACTTATAACCAGGGGAGCAATGGGCAGTGGCAGCTCATCCTGGGCTAAGCCCCTGAATCTGTCTCCAGGGCTTTTTTTTTCTCTGACTTTCCATTGAGTCAAAGCAGCCCCACCTAGGATGCTTCTTCTATCCCACGTCCTCCCTTCATTTCGCTGTTCCCAGCTTTAATAAGAGTACTCTGAAGATTTAAAAAAAAGAAAGAAAAAGAAAAAGGGTACTAAAACAGAGTATTTTTTTTTTTAGAAAAAAATGTTTTAAATGGAGGAAATTAAGTAAAGAAAATCTAGGTCTGTAATGAGTAAGCATTCCTTCATATTCTCTAGCTGTGCCTAAGCATCTCTCCGTGGAGAGCAACTGGGATTATGATTAGAATATGGGACTGAGTGCTTAGAAATTTCAATTCTTGAATCCTGTCTCTCCTATGGGTTTACTCTTAGTTCAGGAAACATAGCTTTCCAGGATACTTTGCCACCCTATAAAATGGGTATAGGATAGGGTTTCCAGTTATTAGTAATTTTTATTTGTTTCTAGGATCTCTTTTGACCATTTAATGCTTTTTCTAGTACTGCTTTCCATGTTTACTCCTCTAAAATTCTCTTCCTCATGCTTTACATATAGCAAATACATGTGTATCTTTTCATTTATAGAATCCTCTTTTTTCTTCTCTTTGCTAGTCTCTCCTCTGTTCTTTTTATCATGTAAGCTCCTATTTCCTTATTGCTGCTTTCTATCATAGCCTTTCATTTTCTTCTTCAGGTGTATTTACCTGGTTTAGGAATTCTCATGCTTCTAGACTGCATCTTGGAAATTACTTTCTTAGTAAATGAGAGGCAAGAGCAATATTCTCTCTGCATGGAATCTCAAGCAAGTCTGTCATGTGCTTGAACTTCACTGTGTAGGAATAGAAATTATGCTTTGTGCTGTCTACCATAATATGAATGTTGTAGCTGTCAAGTACTTTGAATGTCTTGGGAGACAAGTGATGTATACCCCCAAAATAATTAGATGGTGTTATGCCTTGAAATAAGAATTGCTACACATTAACCTACACAGAGGTTTTGTAATGTGGTTGGATCTGTGCTTTATAAGGTTAGAGGGTTATTAAACTGCTTTGTCACAATTGTGAGAAAGGAAAGGGTAAAAGCAAAGGACATATTTTGTTTCTAAAAGACGATTTCTTCTCTATATTGCAGGAGATGCTCTGTTCCAGAAGAACAAGAACTCACTGATGAAGACCTGTACTTGAACAAAGCAAAGAAACAGCTGAGTATACCTAAAGTGGTATTCTATGTCATATAGTAGAGAAAGCTGACCCTTCCTAATAGAGCAGGGAGGTTTGAAAAGGATGATTTTTTTTTCTTTTTTGGTTTTTAATGATTTCCTTCCTCACCTCTCTGTTCTCCAACTTATTTATTCTTTCTAATCATGTCCTGAGTTTCTCAACTAGTAATTATCTTTAGTCTCTCTTCCTCCCCTCCCCCTCTCTCTTTCAATGGGGCAACCGAAATTGCTCTTTAGTACCAGAGTTTATGAAGGCAACCTTAGCTTGAATTCAATGAGGCTCACACTATTTCTAATTTGGAAAGAACATTAAAACCTAAATCTACAATTGGAAATCCACTGTAGACTGAGAAATTTCATAAGTAATCTAAATAGCACTTTTATCTTCTCCTAGAGATCAAACTGTTGAGAAGAAGAAGGTGCCAATGGAAAATGAGAACCACCAGGTGAGAGACAGTCCTCTCTCTTCCTTTCCTCACACAGAATTTTCCCTAACAGAGCATATAGGTTGAAGGAAGCAGCAGTCTTGAAAGCTGCATAGAAATAATGAACTGTTTATTCTGGTGGTATTTTTTTCATTTGATCTTTTGATTTTTCTTTGATCTGTTGTTGCTAATGTTTAGTTCACCAAAAATAGAAGAGACAAATCATTTATTTCCCAGATTTGGATTCAGTACTGATTCTGAACAGTGTTAATGTCATCTTCAGTGTAACAGAATGTTCAGGGTTATGTTCCATTCTCGTACAGGCTGCTCCTGTTGAGTGTCTGGTTTTCCTCAGTTTTCTTTCTGCTAGGAGTAGGCAGGGGTGATTATTCCTCCTTCCTTTTGGGATAAGGGGTGGTTCTTTGTACCTTTTCCCCATCCCTGCTTTCAGGCTGGCTGGCTTTATAAAGACTCTGCTGTTTTGAATTTTCAGGAGCACTGTCTCTCGGACATGGTTGCCCAGCTTCGGATGCTGAAGGGTGCAATAAGGTTGGCCGTCCTTTCAGGGACACTTCTTTCCTGACAGCCACCATAGCACCCATATCTCTCTCCCCCACAACCTTGCCTTTCTGCATGATTTTCCTGTTGATCCTCTTTCTCTGAGATATCTGCTAGTCGCATGTTAGATTCACTTTCCACCCACTCAATCAGGTTAGGTCAGACTGGTGAGGATAGAGGCAATTTAATAGTAATTCTTCTTTTGACAGTCTACTGAGACCCAGGTATATGAATATTCAGGTTTTATGCTCTACTGTCTTGGTTTAATAGTCTGATCTAGAGATTGGAAGATGCCCTGGTACTGCTCTGTCCTCATTCAGTTTGCCTATCCTTTATATTCCTTCATCTTTGTCATTCATACTATTTTCATAAGCTGGCTCTCCCACAAGATCCCAGCTGCATGTCTCTCTGTGTGTGCACTATGAATAAGTGTTAATGTCTTGCATGTGTTTTTCCAAAACAAGCACCGACACATGCTACAATACTTCTTCCTTCCATCTGTACCCTCATCACAGATCTAAGAAGAGTGAAAATCCAGCCTTAAACTGGATCACAAGAGAGAATTAGATACTGACTAGGGGGCCTGGGTTTATGTTGTGGGTGTGATGACTCTAGAAGCCAATAAGTGAGTTGGGGAGGTATATTGGCTTCCAACTGATAAAGTTATAATTGAATGTGCCTGGGTTCAGTTTTCTAGTGTACATTTCTGTGTGCTAATTGTTCAATGTATGAAATAGTTTCTTTTTATTTGGCCAAGTGTTCTTTCCTAGCATCAGAAGGACAATTCATCCTTTGGTATTTAGTTTGAAATTGGGATTTTTATACATCATATTTTTCTTTGCTAGGTATTCACTAACCCACTCAATATACCTACTATTCAAGATATGGATAAATTAAATAATAAAACAATTGGATATGAGGAAATTGATAGCCCTAGCCGGCTTCCATCTGTTCGAGAAGAAAGCAAAACACCTGTTTTTCAACTTAAGCCTCTGGATTCCAGTGTTTTTCAGTTTTCCAGGTGGGTAAGAAACATAGTCTCTCTTCAATAATAAGCCTCAGGGCTTGTTTTCCTGTAAAGTAAGTTGATATGGTTATCATGTTTATGTTTTTACTGAGGCATAGCATGAAATTCAGGGTAAATACTATTTTGGGTTGATAGAATTCTATGTTGCATGTACCCCCAATTATTCAACATTATAACTGCTATTTCAAATCTGTATATCATTTTAATTTACTTTTTTGGGGTGATCATTTGATAAATGCTTTTTTATGTATGATATATTCACATTATGTAGAGAATTATGTAAATGAAACAATAGACATGAACACTCTTTGTAAAGCATAATGTACTATTAAAATGCAAGCTAAAGTTATATAGATAAGCATTGTTTCTTTCCTTAAGTTTAGAACTATTGAAGTCCTGTGGGTCTCCACAAGCCTAGCACATTTTGGCCACATATAAAAATAACCATTAGAGGTTTATGCCTTAAGGACTTCCAGTCAAGATGGAGGCATAGGTAAATACACCTTGAGTCCTTGCACAACCAAAATAAGGGCAACAACAAATTTAACAACAAATAACCAGAACTGCCAGAAAATCGAACTCTATGGAAATCTGACAGCCAGGGAGTTAAAGAAGAAACATTTATTTAGACTGATATGAGGAGAAGAGATAGGCAACTGGAGCAGAGAGGCTGCAGCAGGTGGACCAGGCACTCCAACATTTGCATATGGATAAACCAGTAGGAACAACTGGTGAGCGAGACAGACAGCCCAACATAGCTTCCAGCATGGGACAATAAAACCTCAAAGCCTCTGACCGTAAAAATCTGTGAGGGTTGTGGTGGTGGGAGAAACTCCCAGCCTCACAGAAGAGTTTATTGGAGAGACCCACAGGGTCCTAGAACATACACAAACCTACCCACCTGGGAATTAGCACCAGAAAGGCTCAATTACTTATGGGTAGCAGGGGAAGTGACTGAAAGCTGGCGACCTGAGAAAATGGTATTGTTCCTGCTTGGACCCCTCCTCCACGTACAGTACTACAAAACAGCAATATGGGTTGCCCCACCCTGGTGAATACCTAAGGCTCTGCCCCTTACAACGTAACAGACATGCCAAGACAAAAAAAATATGCCCCAAATGAAAGAACAGATCAAAGCTCCAAAAATAGAACTAAGTGATGAAGAGATAGCCAACCTATCAGATGCAGAGTTCAGAACACTTGTGATCAGGATGCTCACAGAAATGGTTAAGTATGATCACAAAATGGAGGAAAAAGTGAAGGCTATGAAAAGTGAAATGAAGAAAAATGACAGAAGCAACAGTAAAGGGAAGGAAATGGGGACTCAAATCATAGATTTGGAGCAGGAGGAAGAAATACATTCAACCAGAACAGAATGAAGAAACAAGAATTCAAAAAAATGAGGAGAGGCTTGGGAACCTCCAGGACAACTTTAAACATTCCAACATCCAAATCATAGGGGTGCCAGAAGGAGAATAGAAAGACTAAGAAATTGAAAATTTATTTGAAAAAATAATTCAGGAGAACTTCTCCAATATAGCAAAGGAAATAGACTTCCAGGAAGTCCAGGAAGCTCAGAGAGTCCCAAAGAAGTTGGACCCAAAGAAACACACACCAAGGCACATCATAATTACATTAGCCAAGATTAATGATAAGGAGAGAATTTTAAAAGCAGCAAGAGAAAAGGAGACACTTACCTACAAAGAGTTCCCATAAGGCTATTAGCTGATTTCTCAAAAGAAACCTTACAGACAAGAAGGAGCTGGAAAGAAGTATTTGAAGTCATGACAGGCACAGACCTACATCCAAGATTACTCTATCCAGTAAAGCTATCATTTAGAATGGAAGGGCAGATAAAGTGCTTCCCAGATAAGGTGAAATTAAAAGAGTTCATCATTATCAAACTGTCATTATTTGAAATGTTAGAGGGACTATGCTAAGAAAAAGAAGATAAAAATATGAACAGTGTGAGAACAAACCACTATCAACAACCAAACCTAAAAAAAAAAGCAAACTAAGCAAACAACTAGAACAGGAACAGAATCACAGAAATGCAGATTACATAGAGGGTTATCAGTGGGGAGGCAGAGTGGGGAGAATGGGGGAAAAGGTACAGAGAATAAGAAGCATAAATGGTAGGTACAAAATAGACAGAAGAGGTTAAGAATAGTATAGGAAATGGAGAAGCCAAAGAACTTATATGTATGACCTATGGACATGAACTAAGTGGGGGGGGGGGGTGCAGGGCAGAGGGGAATAAAGGGGAGAAAAAAATGAGACAACTGTAATATCATAATCAATAAAATACATATTTTTTAAAAGTTCATGTCTTTAAGCCTTGTAATTCATTGTTTCCTAGAGTAAATTTTTAGTATAAGTTTATTTTGCAGGTTTACTTGTTTGTCTTCTAGTTCCTCATCAATATTATTTTGTTAGTCTTTATAACAGGAAGGCACATACCTTTTCTTTTTTTTAAATATTTTATTTATGTTTAGAGAGATAGGAAGGGAGAGAGAAAGAGAGGGAGAGAAACATCAATTGGTTGCCTCTTGCATGCCCCCAATCAGGAACCTGGCCTGCAGCCTAGGCATGGGCCCTGACCAGGAACCTAACTGATGACCTCTCCTTCCACAGGCAGCACTCAATCCACTGAACCACACCAGCCAGGGTGATCTTTTCTTTTTCTTAAATATCAGGAGTGTTTGATCCACTGAAATATATAACTGCTCTTATAATGACATGAGACTGGATGGAGCTCAGGACTCCTGAATAAGACTTGCTTTATCCTCTGTTATGCTTCTCACATCTTGCAGAGCCAAGCCTTAGGGCAGGTAGAGCTGTTCTCTAATAATAGAAACTTCTACAATCATCAATACTGTGACTATTACATAGTGGGTTGTGAACTTTCAATTGACCCTCTTCACTTTGGATATCTTCTTAACTGAGGATAGATGCAATGGAATACATGATATGGTAAAAAGGACTCCTGTTTCCCCCCTCCAATGTTATTAATATTTTTCCTTGTTTGTTGCTTCTTAGGTGGGTCTTTTTGGCTTCTCATCTAGACAAACATCTCTACATGTGTGCAAGTTCCCTGTTCAGTGATTCTTCCAAATTAAGTCTTGTAGATAGTGGAAGAACCCTATGACCCCCCTGAACATGAACAAAAAGTCCCAAGAGGAAGTAAACCATTAGGAGCAAAACTAATTAAGCTCTAAAGGAATTAAATAAGAAATTGTATGAAAATATTTAGAGGTACTCAATAACTAATGATTGAATTTGAGTCATTTTGAAGGAGCAATTTCTAAGATCGAACTACATAGCAAGGAGGTAAGAAATATAGTCTAGTCAATATTGGGGGCTTGAATGTAATTCTTCTCTGTTCCCATCTATAGTTTTCCAGCTCCCCTTGTAGGTTGAGAAGGTTGTATAATAAAGTGCTGTGTATTTTTTTATTGTTGTTCAATTGCAGTTGTCCCTATTATCCTCCCCATTATTCTTCCTCTGCCCTGCCCACTCCCACCTCCCTAGTGCTATATGTTTTTGAAGCACACTATTACTTTTCTACCTTAGTCTCCGTGAGATGGTAATGTGTCAGATTGCCACTGGAGTACCAAGGTATCATTGCTCTTGAAGGCTATACTTTCCCCCATGTGACCAATTTTCCTTTTTCATCAGTGTTTCTTTCATTATGCTATACTAACTTTTGGTAACCTGAAGGAGATTACAAATGCTAACCTATGCATGTGTGTATTTTATGAGTGCAGTATGTCAGTACATCCATTGGGTGGCATACTTTCTCAGTCTTTATTGAGATTTCTTTCTTTTTTGGCAGTTTTTTTAAAAAATATTTCTTTAGTTTTTAATTCTTGTTTATGCTATTACAGTTGTCCCATTTTCCCCCTTCACCCCTCCCACCCAGCCTACCCCCATATCCATAGTCAATCCCCATACCATTGTCCATGCCCATGGGTCTTTCATGTATGTTCATTGACTAATCCCTTCCCCTTCTATCCAAGATTCTCCCCTACCCCCTTTCCTCTAGCAGCTCTCAGTCTGTTCCCTGTTTCCAGGTCTCTGGTTCTGTTTTTCTCAATCTATTTTGTTCATTAGATTCCTCTTATAAGTGAGATCGTATGGTATTTGTCTTTCACCAACTGGTATATTTCACTTAGTATAATAGTCTCCAGTTTCATCTGAACTGTTGCGAAAGGTAGGAGTTTCTTCTTTCTTTCTGCTGCATAGAATTCCATTGTATAAATGTCCCATAATTTTTTGATCCATTCATTTACCGATGGGCATTTAGGCTGTTTCCAGCACTTGGCTGTTGTAAATAGCACTACTATGAACATCAGGGTGCAAAGGTTCTTTTGAATTGGTGTTTCGGTATTCTTAGGTTATAATCCCAGCAGTGAAATTGCTGGGCCAAAAGGAAGTTCCATTTTTATTCTCCATTTTCTATATGAGTCTTTGTGGAACGCTGTGCCAAGAGTTGGGTTTGTCTATAGAAGACAGGTAAAGTACTTTGACTCTGCATTTGTAGTTTGAATTTGAGAATAATTTTCTCTCAAGAGAAAGAGATACCTGATAATTGATGTTGCTACTGATGTCATATGTTTTATGTAAGGTCATTAAATGATGATTATGTCATTTCAGATTATATATATAGAAGGATTCATATTGATTGGAATGACTCTGCCTTTTTATAAGGGAAAGTGAAAGTACTCAAGAGTTCAGTGAAATACACAGGGTTTTCTGATAAAATGATGTTAATGTAACTGTCAATTTAGTTGAGAGTTACAAAGGTTTCATTGGTTATTATAAAACCCTGAAGGTGATAAAAGGGGCTTGGGGTCATGTAGTTCAACACTATACCTCTAGATAAAATAAAACCTACACTATCCAAGAAAGGTTTTAAAATTTCCAGTTTGGTAGGTTATAGGACCTAATAAAGCCTCCTGAGGTGTCATTGGAAACAGTTTTATGAGTCTCAT